CTGTCCATCTGCTCATGCAAGATGGTGAGCCTTCTCATGAGCTCGAATGAGCGCTCGCCCTGGCCCCTGAGAGAAGCGTTGAGGTATGCCCTCTCGTTGTACAGTTGCTCGAAAGAGCCAGGAGACGTGAAGACCGACCAGGCCGGCTTGACTCTCGTGTTGAGTGATATGTTGTTGACTGGCATCGTTCGACCTCGCCTGACGTTGCTCCTACAAGAAGCTGTTTGGGAACTTGGATATGCTGTGACAGAACCCTTGCGGCGGGGTAGACAGCTATTGTGACTTGGTGAATCTTCGGAAGATATGGTCGACGCATCTTGATTCTGCACAGATCTAGGAGTGAAGACCGCTGCTTGGACGTGTTGTTCCATGACTGAGGCTGTAAACTGGTGATAGAGAAACGAGCAGAGGTTCCGGAAGTCTGTTCGGCATCGTCACTTCAGATATAGATGGGCGTTCCGCTGCAGAAATTCCCACTGTATCCAAAATTGACCAGATCGAAACAAAGGTGAATTTGCCTATCCGCAAACTTAGTTGACGGTTTAGGATCATTCCTCTGATAAGGGACGGCAAGGCTCTCGTCCGATGTTTCTCAATAAAGCAAAGAGCCAAAGGGGTCCAGATTTAGCTGTGTACGCAAAGGATGAGGAGGCGTTTTTGACGAAAGAACAAACTGGCTTGGCAGCCTACGGTTTAATTTGACGAGAGCTTCGAACAATGGAAACCCCGCATTGAACATGATCAGACGCGTGGTGCTCGGCACTCGGCAACGTTTGTTGGTTCCAACAACATGGTACAGGGTGGGAAACCTCGTACTTTTCTTGACACTCTTGGCCATTACCATCTGCAAAAGTCAGCGTCCGCTTGTTGTTAAAGAGGCCCGTGGTTCTCGTAATAACCCTTATGATGGTATCAACGAGAAGGTAGGTGTAACTGATTACGACTTCAAGGGAATCAACACACCTGAGGGTTGCCACGCGACGTCGGCATGGCTGCGGCACAGAAGCAACGAGCCTGGCATGATGGCACCAATTTCAGTTCGCCGCCGACTGCGAGGAGCCAAATGCCACCATGTTTCCTTCATGAGGTGCCGAGAAGCATGCTAGCGTTTGTCTTGTGATGCAAGGGGGTTCAGATGTTGAAACCATCATGGCGAGGCGGGTCACAGAATCGCCACAGACCAGCTGCTTCCGCCGCCCTCCGGACCGAGGAGATCTCGTTATCCGACACGGCTCGATTGATTTCACTGTATCGAACCTCCTCTCCACCAGACTCGGCGCTGGCGGCCCCGGCTTTGGGACGTCTCCTGGCCTTGCCAACGTGGGCATCTGGGTGATACTGCTCCATGATATTGACAAAGCAATCCCTGGAAACCTCCTTGGCCAGGAATTCCATGATTTTGTGTCCCTCTACTTCCTTCCCTGGCATGACCAGATGGCGTACAAGGAGGCCCTTCTTGGCGATGCCATCGCCAGTAAAGCAAAGATCGCCAACCTGCGCGTGCATCGCCTTGATGCTCTCGCGCGCCGTGGCCGCGTAGTCGTCTGCTTTCAGAAGACGCTTGGATGAACTGACCTCCCAGACCTTGAAGTCAAGGAGATAGATGTCGACCAAGCCATCGAGCAGCTCCAACGACTCAGGCGAATCGAAACTCGAGGTATTATAGATGATGGGCACCTTCAAGCCTAGGTGCCTGGCATGCAAAATGCTCAAGACAACCTGGGGAACCACGTGCTCCGGAGTGATGAGGTTGATGTTGTGGACGCGGCCGACCTGCTGCAGCTTGATGTACCACTCGCCCAGCTCCTCGGGTGTCAGGTCCTGGCCATTGCGCTGATGGGCAATGTCATGGTTCTGGCAAAAGACGCAGCGGAGATTGCAGCCGGAAAAGAATACCGCGCCACTTCCATTGTGCCCCTGGACGCATGGTTCTGTGACGGCTGGTCAGTGTGCGGCACCCTTGCTTTGGGACAGCTGCTTCCAGACCTTCACCGAAATGAGGCGCAATCACATTGACCTTTGTGTTATCGCCAATCAGACACATTCCCGTCGTCTCGAAACGGTTGACGCCGCATAGGCGCGGACAGAGATTGCATTTTGAGAGGTGATGGTACGCCTTGGAGCGCTTTTTGGATTCATCGATGGAGGACAACATCATGTACCGTGGTATGTAGTCATCGAGGAGGAAGGGTGGTGCAAGATGGAGGGATCGCCTGGGAGGCCACATGGCTCTCCTGGGAATCCCATTCTTTCTGGTAAGCGCTCTCGCCAACGCTTGCATCTTGCAAACTCGTTCGTATGAACTGGATGAAGAGCATATCAGGAGTCTTGCGTCAGAGTCGAAGCTCGAGGTAGGAGTGGTGGTCGGATTACATCAGGGAGCTTCCTACTGGCCCAATACCAATTTGAGTGGGGCGATGGCACCTTCACCTCGGTCAACGACGGCAGCATTTGCCTTCCTTCATCTCTCTGGACTTGAGAGTCAAAGTCCGAGGAAAGCTCCATACGGAGGCCAACTTTCATAATTCTGTGTTGAATTCTGGTTTTTCCGTCATAGCGTTTGAGTGACCATCGAATACGAGCAAATGGTCGAACATGACAGTGATTGGTCCCGACCAACGGCCGCAAATGTATTGATCGACCTAGCATCCGTCGCACATCAGCGGCCCTTGCTTGGTGACCCATTTCCCCGAGCAAAGCGAACATATTCTGTTGATGGCTTCGGTGGAGTATCAAAGTCCGAGCAAGTAAGTGCCATCGGGACCATCCCTTCACACTGTCTCCCGACGGGCACTGTCACACCAAACATGATATTTAATTTTATTTCCTGTTTCCTGGCTTGTTTGCTCATTCTACGGACCCGTGCTCCCAGTCTCATACATAATGTTCATAGAGATTAAACGGCACGACGAACGACCCATGAGTTTCCTCCGTGAGTTTCCTAGGCTAGCAGGCAGGCAGACGAAGACATGATGTGAGATTCCCAGCGAGGGTGTAGCGGTCCAGAACCACGCTGGAAAGATGACTGGTCTTCATGACTCTCTACTGGCTGAGGCTATATTCGGGAGCTTCTTGATGTTTTTTTTTTGCGGCATCTTCTTCAAAACGGGCAAAAAGATTCGACTTAGCACGGCCTATTTTCGATCCAGGGACCTTTGGGTTATGAGTCCACCGCTGCTACCACTGAGATACCGTGCTTGCTACTTGTTGAGGACAAATGATCATTATCAGAATGATAATTGCGGCATCAATTTGCTAACGTGACTCACTTCTAGCAACCTCTACGGAGTGTGACTGGGATGAAGTAAGGTGAGGCCAAATGCTCCTCGGCGATAAGTCGGTTTGCTGGACAAGCCTTGACTTGGGAAGAACTCAAAAGCTTGCGAACTAGTCACTCATTCCTACTTCCCTCTGCAAACGGGAACTATTGCTTAGCTTATTTAGCTTAGTATATCAGAGTTGGCTGGATGAACGGGAGACGGTCACCTACATGCAGGAAGTGACTCTCAAATCCTCAAGGTGCATTTACCCCTTTGAGCAGTCTACCCTGAGAACTTAACTCACAGTCTAACCTTCAAGTACTGATCTAATTATTTCTTCCATTAACAATACGTCCCCGTAGCTCAGTCGGTAGAGCAGCAGTCTTATGTTATCCTTAGCCCTAGCGTAGTATCCTTAAGCTGTTGGTCGTCAGCTCGAGTCTGACCCGGGGCAATTCTTTCTTTTCGTTTTTGCTCCTTTCAATATGTGATTTCTTTCCATCTTCTTGGCCTTCGTTATGGATCTTTCAGGCACACTGCCGACGGGTTATAGAGGACATGATTGCCATCCATTCCAACGTGAAGTGCGACCCGAAAGCATTTCTCCCTTCCTCGAGAGTGAGATCGCTCGTTCGGATTCCCCTGCGTTAGACCAGTTACAGCATCCTTCCCCTGCTAAGTTTTGGTGAGAGCTCTCCATGCCAATAGTAGCGTCTCATTCATAATAGCATAAAGCTTTAGCAACGTGGGTTAATCTTGAAGAATCTGCTGATCGGGTCATGCGATGCACAACTTAAGCAGCGAGCACAAATCGCTCTGTTGGTTTTCTTTTCGCCAATAACGATGCTAGGGAGAATGCTTGGCTATTTATTTTGTAAACAACAGAGCAACTTGGGTGTTAGGTAGTGTTCAACCACACATTACATCGATCAACAAGTGCTAATCGATCGGCATTTGCTTGTTTGCGGCTGTATATGATCATCCGAGCTTGACAGCAGTCAGAGTCGCGCATTCATGACCAACGGCCTGGCAAGCTTCGTCCCTGGTAGCGGATTCCGCCGGCATCATCACATGACCAACTCATAATTACCGTTGATGTATTTTTGTTTGCGTTGCCTCAACACGTATCCATGCACCCGCGTGATCGTCTCAGTCAATTCTGTATTATAGAGGGGCGGCGACCCGGAAAAGCAAGCAAGATCAGCGGGCTGAACCGACGCCCACGATGAAAATGGTCAGACGAAGAAAACGTTGCGAGCTAGAACCCACAGATATTTCCAGTTTGTGTTCAGATCTTTTTGAATGTTTCTTCTAAGGAGATTTATCGTGGGTCGACGGCCTTTCTGCAGCAGTCCTTCCATCTCGTAGTCATGCCATGTCTTGCAGAGCAAAGATGCTCAAGAGATTACCGTGGGGAAGAACCCTAAAAGTCGACGATTCGAATGGAAGAAAGCAGTCGAGCAGAAGTTCGAGTATATATTATAGGATCCCTCGAGGTGCGGATGGCTCACTGAAGGTGCGTCGGTGAGCAAGTCCTGCCTCACTCCTTCCACTATTTCACACCGAGCGACGGTCTCAGACCCTCTTACACTCATTCACCTCACTCACCCCACCAAGTCGACCTCTTTTTGTCCCCCCTTCCAACACACAACATCAATAATCGGACTTGGAGGATTTTTTTGCTCTTCTTTATTGGAGGTTTTATTTTGATTTCTTTGGGCGGCTTGGGCGGCGTGCGAGATGCATCCTTTCAAAATTTTGTTTTGTTTCGCCCTCTCGCTGCTCCTTCCTTACTCGAATTCCCTCCACATCACCAACCAGACCATTGATAAATTTCTCCTCGATGAGTACGACTACGTCGTTGTTGGTGGCGGCCTCTCCGGACTCGTGGTCGCGAACCGGCTCAGCGAGAATCCAGATGGTATTTACCCCTTTGCCAACTATGGTTCGTTACGCTGACCAGATATAGCGAGTGTCCTCGTAATCGAGGCCGGCGACCTGTGAATATTCCATTCTTAGACTGTTTCATTGCTTCATTGTGAAAACAAGCTAACAATTCACCAGTGACCGCCGCGAGGGTCGGGTCATCATCCCTGGATACATTGGACGTACGCCCCCTTCCGGCTATGGTCAAGATGTCCCCACCGCGCCCCAGACCTTCTTGGACGGGAAGACTCGAGATATTAACCAGGGAAAGGTCGTCGGTGGCGGATCGGTCGTGAATGGAATGTGTTGGACCAGAGGCGCCGCTGCAGACTTCGACGCCTGGGAGGAGCTCGGCAACGACGGTTGGGGATGGGATGGCCTGTTGCCATACTTCAAGAAGGTATGAAATCCTTGAACTGAGGCGGTGCCAGAATTCTGACGTACAACTTAGGTTGAGAGGTACACGACCAACGTCGGTCAAGGCATTAGTGACGAGTTCAACATCAAGCCCAACATGTCTTTCCACGGAACTGACGGTCCCATCAACGTGGCGTACCCGGAGCATATCTACAACACATCCAGTAAATACTGCCTAGATTCGGAATGATCTGAAGCTAATCGGAAACAGGCAGCGTTCTTCAAGGTCTTGCCGAGGTCGGTATCCATACATCCAACGACGTCAACTCGGGTGACCCGACCGGCGCTATGATCGTCGCCTCGAGCATGTCCCCCACAAACCAGACGAGATCCGATGCGAGAACTGGCTACTTCGACACTGCCAACGCGCGCTCCAACTTTCACGTTGTCACTGGCCACATGGCCACGCGGCTGATCGTAGGTTTGCCCGGCTCCCTGACCAACCAGGAAAGCCGCCGGATTATCGGCGTCGAGGTAAGTCGTTGTCATGAGTTACATATTGGCCCTCCGAGTTCTGACCGTATAAGCTCTCATCTGGTCTGTCGGATATCAACAGAACCGTCACTGCGAACAAAGAAGTCATCCTGGCCGCTGGAGCCATTCAGTCGCCTGTTCTTCTTCAAGTCTCCGGTATTGGTCCTCGTCAAGTTTTGGAATCCTTGAATATTTCCACGCAGATCGATCTGCCCGGAGTTGGAAACAATTTTCAGGATCACCCCATGGCCAGATTCCCATATGATTGTAAGCACCCAGGAGCCTGCCTAATCTATGCTTGAATCTAACATGCTTTCAGACTCTAATGCATCTGTTTTCACTTCTAATGATCTCAACGGTGACAAGCTCGAAGATGCGCTGGACCAGTTCTTGACCAACAAGACGGGCAAGTCATGCCCTTGTCCATAACGACGTGAAGCTAACCTTCTCAGGTCCCTTGACAACACCTCTGATCAACACCGTCGCCTTCCCAGCGCTCAAGCATCACGCCGACGAATGGAGAACCCTTCTCGCCCATTCAAAGAATCAATCCTTCGACTTCCTTCCCCTCGACACCCCGTCCGCTGTGGCAGCCGGCTACGTAAAGCAGAAGGTCCTTCTACTCAATCACCTGGCTCGCGAAGACGTCGGTGCGTACGAACTCCTCGCCGCATCATGGGGTCAGATCTCCATCGCAAACCAGAAGCCCCTGTCTCGCGGCACCGTTCGGCCATCCTCGTCCTCCGTCTACGACGCCCCCGTAGTTGACCCTCGCTACTGTGCGGACCCTCTCGACTGCAAAATCATCAGACTCGGTCTCCAGCTCACGCAGAAGCTGATGGCCACAGACGCCATGAGGCTGCTCCTTCCAGTAGTCGACGCCAAGTACAACTCTACCGACGAGCGGGAGCTCATGATGGCGCTGAAGCCGCTGGTGGGCACGGAGTATCACCCTAGCGGCACGACGAGCATGTTGCCGAAAGACCTTGGCGGTGTTGTGGATTCTGAGTTGATGGTGTACGGAACTTGCAACCTTCGTGTTGTGGACGCCGGTATTATGCCGATGATCCCGGGCGGACATATCCAGGCAGCGGTGTACGCAGTGGCGGAGAAGGCGGCGGATATCATCAAGGCCGCTGCAGATGAAGCGTCGTGCCCGATGGGACAGCCTCAGTGGCCTGTCGGACAAGGTCCCGTAGGCGGTGACGGACAGTCTGCCTGATCATCAGACGAATCATGGATAGACAGTGAACATCTCACTTAATTGCTTGTAGTATTATAATAATACCCATCCAGCCAGAAAGGCTGACTTTGCGTCTTACAAAAGGCTGCTTAACCATAGACTTGTTTTTCTGTTCATCATCACCATCACCGTGCCCATCATGATGCCTTTAGCGTTGCCCCTTTCCCCAGCTCATCGAATAGCCTCACAGCATGACCGCCACTTCACGCCACTCGCATCAGGGGGAGCACAAACAACCCCATCACCCACCAACTCCACATCACGAAAGACAGCCGATCCGCCTCTGGTCCTTTGCAGCACCATATCCTTGCCGCCAAAAGCGTCCCAGAAAGCCACACCCACCCGGCCACGCGGACCTGCACGATGCCCCAAAACGCAGGACAAACGAGCGACCAGAACATGAGGGCCACGCAGATGCCGAACCTCGTGAACGCGTCCCCGAGGATCACGGGGAAGGTGTGCCTCCCGCGCGCCTTGTCGCCCTCGTAGTCCTTCAGGTCCTGGACCTGGATCGTGGTGCCCACGACGAGGCCCAGCAGGCCCAGCCACGCGTACGCGCCCGGGAGGATCTCGGCCACGCCTGCGTCTGCGATGAGGATCTTGAGCGCCGCGACGCCGTAGACGGGGTACGCGAGCCCATTGACGAGCTGGCGGATGAGGAAGTGCTCGTCGGCGCCGCCGAGGTCGTTGTAGTAGGAGCTCGCGCAGATGCAGGCCAGCGTCTCGGAGCCGACGCCGAGGCGGAAGCTGAGGGCGAGGGTGAGGGGCACGGCGGCGAGGAGGAGGTGTCTGGCATGGGCGGCGGAGGCGCGGCCGGAGGGGATGGGGCGCCAGGGCTTGTTGAGCTTGTCTTCGAGGACACCGGCCGGATCGCGCTGGTTGGAGACGGAGAGGATGAGGATGTTGAGCCAGAGCCAGAGGAGGAGGGCGGGCAGGTTTGAGAGGATGGTTGGGCAGGATGTTGGGTGGGAGGTTAGAGGAGGCCCGGGGAGGGATGTGAGGATGCCCAGGGCAGAAAGGGGGATGAGCATCGTTTTGATGTCGTTTTTGGTGAAGAGGTAGAGGGTGTGGGTATGGTAGCGGAGCGTGGTGAGGGCATCGTTGAGGTGTTGTAAGGTGAGTGCCAGGGAAGAAGAGAACTTGAGGTGGTTGGTTGTTGATATCATCTTGATGTTTTGATGCTCTTTCTGGTGCAATACTTCTGGAATAAGTTTCTCAGCGGTGGTGATGAGGTAAGGAGGTGATGATGATTATAGAAACATGAACAATAGTTAGACACTCCACAGGTGAGGCTTTATACTCGTTTTGAACGTAACAAAATCTAGCACTGACGAATTGTATCGCTGGATCTCACCGCGATGGCTGGATGCCGTCGTCGCGGCTCCGTATCCATTACTGCCAATCAAGAAACATCGCGGATGCCACATGTGTGTAGTTGCTCAGTTCGGAGACACCATTCTCGGCTCTTGAAGCATCTCGGAAACCCCGTCTGTGAAAAGAAATCACCGACACAAGCAATGTGGTTGGCAGCGCTTCGATTTCAGCAGCTTACACGACAGCCACACGTCAGCCCTTGCTCGGGGAGTTTTGATGTTCTCTCAGCGAAGCTATTGGCGTTCTTGCAGCAAGCTGAAGCCCTCAGCTGGCCGCCGGCTTAGTTTGGCTCCACGCCGCTAGGCCGTCCGAGGAGGAATGCATCGCGGCGGTCTAGTCGGATCGGGAACTTGGCGAATCGTGATTGGTGTCGAGAAATTCGACAGCTTCAAATAGTTTGGCGAGACACAATATGGGAGATTCCCATGCTATTTTGTGCCGCTTATGTGATTGATCATATCTGCATCTCCGTGTGGTCATCTGCACCATCGCTGTGTACGCCTTCGTGGCTGATTGTTCGTGGTCGAGACACAATATGCGAGCCACATGGTTGAATTTCGGTTCTAAATGATGTTTCGGCGTGGCCGTAAAAGAGCATATCTCTGTGTTCGATAAGCAAGAAGATTAGTGTTGAAGACGGCTACGAGACAGAGAAAACGCGACGAGAAGTGCTACTGCTTGCTAGTTTCTCTCTCTCTGCACTTTCCTTAGGGGGCTTGCTCTGCTGCTGTGTCTGTGTCCCTCGCTGTGATAGTCACAGTTTCCATCCTCTCAGTCTCTCTCTTGGCTGTTGCTTAGTCGCTTCCGAAGTCCTAAAAGACCTGTGGCGAAAGATTGCCGGATAACGTCGAGATCAAGGGTTGACGTTCAAGAATCGTCGGCATGCATTGTTCCGGGGACAAGATGAGAGGAGGCGTCGATGAGGACAGCAGTTTGGTACATCCCTCTGGTTGAAAACCGTCTCCAGTCTCGCGCGTGTTGCGGGCAGTGTTACCGATATCAAGGATATCAACCTCCCACCAAGCTCGCATCTCTGGCCACTTGGTTCGGCCCTTGAATGGGCCAGTTCAAATCCTTCTCCGTCCCCGAGAATGGTCAGAAACCTACCGTATTGGCAAAAGACCGTCTTCGATATGATGTCCGGAGGACAAGATCGCTTGATGGGAAAACAGTGGCATACCGAGCGGCATACTCATGGCCACATCCATGATTTGCTCTCGACCTTATCTTGGTTGCGCGACAAGGAGGTCTGCCGGATTTCTTCTTGGGTGCTGAAGTAATTGAGCAGACTAGCCAGGTCGTAGTCATACTTCCGGCCGACACATTGTCGCCATCTAGACACGACAGAATAGCCTCTTCTCCTTGGCCCATCTGAGAAAGGCCATAGCCTGGTTGATCTGTCTCTTGTGCAATGTCCATTCCCCGGCCAAACTAGCACTTGAACCAATATCAAAGGTGAGATCTCTGAATCCTGATTGCCACGAGGGCTCTTCATGACCCTCGCCAAGGACTGCACAAGTGGAAAGACAAGCTAGACTTCTACCTCGGCTGTCATAAGCGTCTTCGACATTCAAACAATTGCAACGCACCGGAGATTTTGATTGCGCAAAACTTGATCCTCATAGAGAGAAGAGAAAGGGCATGATGAGCCAAGGACGCAAAGCCAACGCACTTGGTAGGAGGATTTCTAGTTTCCATGACTGGCTGAGACCAGAAACACTTGAGCCTGGTCTAACCTGACAACGCACTGGCAACGGTGTGAGGAACATTGTGGACCGAGAAACGGTGCAAGCATACAAGGAAAGGACAGTTGATGAAGGGTGAAGGCAAACAAACATCTCTGTCATTGGAGACGTATGTGTTGGTTGTAAGTGGCTCGGAGTGGACATTGAAGCTGGAATGGCACGTCCGCAACTCTCAACAACGCTTGTCATTCATAGTACAGCCTCGCCCAATGATGCCAACAAGATGCAGTGCGCAAGCGGTCGACGCGTGGTCTAAGAGGGGAAATTCGATAGAATATGCTTCATGCAACGAGGCGAAAGTTCGTATTGTAGCTCAGCCATGATGATGTGCCGAGACAGTTGGTTGAGGTTGGGGGATGGTGGAAAGAGCATCAATGCTCAGGAAGTGATTGCGTGGACACGGCAGGCAGCAAATGGAAATATCAAATACTAATTTCCATGTGATGATTTCTTGGCAACGGAACATTTGCTCAAAAGGCCCCGTATTCGCAGTTGAACACCGCCCACTTGGCAAATTGAGTGTCGAAAACCGAGACAAACATCGGACGGGGCTCGAGGGAGGGAGATTTGCAACCTTGAAAGCGAATTTGAGATTCGCCTCCCATCAAAGAAAGTGCTGGACCGCCGGTGAATGGATGGACTTGTCTCAACCGTCTTTTTCGCCCGTTGGATGGCGAAAAATGACGACGGCGGGTGGTAGCGAGGGGAAAGTACGTACCGGATCGGTGCACTTCACAGCGGTTTTAGAGGCAGAGCGGGTGGCAGTGCAGTGACAGCTGCCGAGAGGACTCCAGGGACTAAGGGACCACTGAGGGGTTCAAGCGGTGGCCGGAGCTCTGCACTAGCACCTACCTTACCTACCTTACTCTTTAACTAAGGTAGCAGGTCCACGGGTGAGGAGGAGCAACAAGGTAAAATGGAAAGCGCCGGTCGCAGGTGGCTGTGCACGCCCCAGAAGCCAGGAACCCCCACCATCAAACACAACGGACACCGCTGGAGCTTCACAGCTGTTGTATGCCACGGCTGGAGGTGACTGAGGGACACTGATTGGAATGGCAGAGGGGGGCAAAAGGGGTCGTCAATGTCATCCCGTTTTACTCCATGTTAGTCGGTGGTGGCACAAGAGCTAAAATGCCAGTGTCCAGTGGATTGTGTTCACTGGACCGGGGACCGAGACTGGGGAGTGCCTGGAACACGACTGCCCAGCACACCAAATGACGTCGCCCGCCTCAGAGAGGCCTCTCGGGCACGTCCAGGGAATCGGGATCCAGACCACCTCAGACAAAGAGAGGGACAGCACCAACAGCAGCGAGTGACGGGTGACGAGTGACGAGAGTGGGTGACCTGCTGAGGTGGAAGCTGCCCCGGAGCTAAAGAAAGCAGCAGCACCAGCAGCAGCACCGACTTAAGCGCCATGCCATGCACGTAGTTTCAATCTCGTCCAATCCAACCGACTTTGCCATCACCACACCCCCAACCCAACCTTTAAACCTGCGAATCTCGTCACAACTCTCATGACTCGCCTCCTACCTACCGCCTACTCACTCTCGAAGCACCTTGTCGCTCGATCCTCCTTGGCGAATAGTCGTCGCGTCTGCTCCTCGTCACCTTCCTTACCACCAGCCTGCAGCTACATTTCCGACCAAATCCTCCCAGCATCACAAAAAGTCGACCCCAAACACCCCGCGCATCCCCCCTCCTCAACCTAGCTACCCCTACGTCTTGATTTTTCACGCTTCTTCTTTGCGCCAGTCGCAATTTGAGACGCTGATCTGAGGCAGCCAAGTCTCCAGAAGTTCGCGCCTGTTTTGCGCATCACAAACATGGCCTCGGGACACAACGTACGGCACCGGGCGCGCAACATCACCTCTACGAGCTTAAAGCGTACTGACTGACCTTACGATTTAGGACCCCAAGCTCTTGTACGCCATCAATGGCGTCAAGGCCTACCACCTTGCCCACGGCAAGGAGGTGTCTCTGACTCCAGCCGGCCCCCAGACGCTCTCGCTGTTGATGGTCCCGACATCGTCGCCCTTCTCCGACACAAACGGAGAAACTCCCGCAGAGGACTTCTACCTACACCTGCACCTCCCTCCCGAGCTCGACTTGCCTCTTCCCGCCACGACCCAGATCTACCACCAGCCGCCAACGAGCTACCTGATTCCAAGATGGGATATGGGCCCCGACAGCGGCGCATTCACTCGCATCGAGTTCCCCGACACTGGCAGCAGAAAGGGTCTTCAAGAAGATGTAGACACCTTCGAGACAATCCTCGCCCAGTGCACCGCCTTCCTCGAACGAGCGCCCCCGCCAAAGGGTTCCTCCGCCGCGAAGTCCGCGAAGGCTGCCGCCATGCCCTCCGCAGCTTCTTCCGCAAAGGCGAGAGCAGCAGCTGACGACGGTCTCCCCGCCTACAACCCTGCCGACTATCAGCCCGGGCAAGCCTACGCTCAGGGAAGCCACAGCTCCCCCAATGGCGGCAGGATCGTGCTGATTGACGAGGAGGATGGCAGCGTCATTGGCGAGCTGGCGGAGAACTACCAAATCCAAGAGGAACTGGGCGTGAAGCCCGGCACGAAAGGTAAGTCGGGCGGCTACTCGGCCGACCTTGACTCACATGGCATGCCAGATCCCGTGGAGATCACCCTCCCCGCGAACCAGAGCCAGGCCATTACCGTCCAGCCTGTGTCACAGGAGTATCGCGAGATGATCATGCACCCAGCTTACAAAAAGTCCTTCCTGGTCTCCAACGCCTCCAAGGCTTCCCGTCTGATCGTTACGTCGTCAGACATGGTCACCAAGGGTCTGCAAACAGGAGCTGATAGCTTCACTACAAAGACCAAGTCCAATGACACGGCCATGACGTTTACACCGGCGGCGCACGACCGTATTCGTCGCATCAACCAGTTCACTACTACCGCGGCTGGCTTGTCAGCGACGACGGTTGGACAGATTGGTAAAGTTGCACAGAACCTGGGCGCTACCCTTGCTAGGAAGAAGGATGGCGGCGGAAGGGGGTATGACAGGGATGGTAACCCCATTGAGGGTTATAAGCCTGGGCTGCTGAACAGGAGCTTGATGGCGTTCAACACCGTTGCCGACGGTATCGACCAAGCCGGACGCAACCTGCTGGTGGGCACTTCCTCCAGTGTATCGCAAATGGTCGAGCACCGTTGGGGTGCCGAGGCTGGCCAGGTGTCGAGAAACATTGGTGGCGGATTTAAGAACGTCGGCTTGGTCTACATCGATGTGACAGGCGTCTCTCGAAGAGCCATTCTGAAGAGCGTCGCCAAGGGCATGGTCGTCGGAAAGGTAAAGGGAGGCGGTCAGATCATTGTCGGAGGTGGAGACGGTGGCAATACCGTTGGATTGTTAGAGGACGGGAAGCCTCTTGCCCGCAGGGATGACCAGAGTGACACGACCAGCCTATATACAGCATATGAGGGGAAGGGTAAGAAAGAAAAGGTGCAATGAGTGGGGAAAGATAGCGATGATGGTAGAGCGGATGAAGGGGTCTCTTGGATGGTTAGATCTGGAGGCCGTTATATGTGTTTTGAAGACCCGCACAAGGACCGGGCACTTCCGTATGTCAGCTTGTCGGATGCGAGAACGACATGAAAATAGGAAGCTTAGCCAATTCATTGATCAAGAACACTCTTGGCATATGCGTGTCGCCTTTGTTTCCATAGACTTTGGATAGCGTTGGGATAGGCCTGGTTTAAGAGCTGTCAGACGGCACCGGGCGGATCAGAGGTTCCACATCAAGGTCGGGCACCGGAATCCGTCGACCGGGCCGCTTCCAGAGCACGGGGCTTACTTCAGCTCGACGTATCTTATATCACGTGCACGTAGGTACCTAAAGAAGGCCCCGCAGGTCTCAGAGCGGACAGGTAGTATCACTTTAGCCCGCCGTCAGTCAGTCGCGTCAAGTCAAGCCCCGTCGCGCTTTCCCCTGATGTCGATTCCATCAATGCCGCTACCGTGATATGGGAAGGGATCAGGCCTTCGAGCATGGAGCCTCCTTGACAGCCAGTGCGACTTTTGTTTTTGTGGCTCGGACGCTCCTTTCTTTTTTTTGCGAAAGGGGACACAGAAAGAGAGTTGACTGGTTCGTGCGACGAAAGGGGACTTTGCTTAATGCAGAAAACAACATAACAAGGTAATCTGCCAACCATCACATCACCTTACCTTTTTTCCGGGTGCGACGTCTTGCTCGCCCAACTGCCCCGCCTCCCATCCTCCCGCCCAAAGGAGCCGCCTTCGTTCGAATTGCTCTCTCCCGCCATCCTTCGCGCCCGCACCGACCCCGACGTGTAAATGTGTCGCTTCGAGCTGTTAGGCGCTTTCATTCTGCTTCTACGCGACTTTGGCGAAAAGTCAAAGTCCAAGAAGCAACCCACCCGCGAAATGTGCTGATGCCGTCTCTTTGGGCCCCTCCCAAGACCTCCCCTCGGACCCATGTCCACCTCCACCAGCGCCGCTGCAATTGGAACCGGAGAACCCATGGCTAACACCTCGGTTTTCTGTATAGACACGGCAATCATAGCAACAGCAGCAGCATCGGCCTGGGCCTCGGCGCAAAGAAGCCATGCTCCACGAAATCCTCCTCGCCCTCTCCGGGCACCCCTCCCCTCTGCTCCGAACCGAAGCTTCAGACCCCGATGCGCTACCATCGCCCGCCATCTCACCACCGGAACGCGAGCTCCTAGCCACCGTCGCACACCTGAGTGACTTGCACGTCAAACTGCAGAGCTACACGGCGCCCATTGCCGCCGAGCACCCGTCAACGATATGCCGCGCCGTCGCGACAGCCGTGCAGTCCGTCCACCTAGCTGCCTTCCAGCGCAAGGTGCTCGAGGTCGAGGAGACCATTCTGAGGAAAGACTCGAGCCTGGTGGGCGCGTACAATATTGTACCTTTGACGGCAGTCGTGGGCGAGTTTTCGGAGTGGACGCGGCGGATGGAGTGGCTGTGGGAGATTGTGCAATTCATGCTGCGGAAACAGCAAGGGCAGACATGCCGCGGCGCACAGCTTGTTGATCGGCTGCGGAGCGAGCTGCAGAGTGGTTACGTGGATATCGAGAGGACGGCCATGAGTCTGGTCTCCGTGGCGGAGACGGCGTGGTTGAAGCAGGTTTCTGCTTGGATTCTCTACGGCCGGCTGCCCACCTTTGGCGGAGAGGATTTCTTCGTGCATAAGGCGAAGAGCGGCGATCACGTAGGTTGAGCCGGGCTTGGCGCGGAATGTGGTTACTAACGACGATCAGGACTATGTGTCAGTGCCAAACTTATTGCCGAACTTTGTTACGCCAAAGACTGCGTCTTCGATGGTCTTCATTGGGAGGTCATTAAATCATGTCCGTGTGAAGAGCAGCGTCGAATCGGGTCTCCAGGGGCTAGACCACCTCTCGTCGCAATTGAAGGAGCTCTCCGCGCTGACGTATCCGTTGAATACGGCGAGCTTCTCGCGGGCAATTACCGCCATTCGCCTCACGCTCTCACGCACAGTGCTACTGAAGTTGCTGCCGCTCACGAAAGTCGTGGAGGCACTTCAAGTTTTGCGCGAGTTCTTCCTCTTGGGACGGGGTGAATTCGCCATGGCCTTAACGCACCAGGCTGACGAGAAGCTACGGAGCCGCTGGAAGAGGGCAGATAATCTCGCCTATGAAAAGCGCGAGGGTGTCGGTCAGTTTGCGGTCAAGGAAGGTGAGGTCGCAGCCGTGCTGGCCAAGACGTGGGGAGAGATGGGCTTGATGCAGGGGCAGCATGCGGATGAAGACGAGGGTCTCGAGATTGGGAGACAGTTACTGCGCCTGAATCTCACCAAGTCCAAGCCTGCGGTGCCCCTCAAGCTTGAAGCCAGCACATCGCAACCAACGACGAAAACGTTGGCTACGACCCCTTTCCGCAATCTTCTGCTGTCTGTTCCCGTCATCCTGACGATGCAGATACCTTCACCACTGGACATGTTCCTCACCTCGTCCGATCTCCAGATCTACTCCACAATCAACTCCTACCTCCTCTCCATCCGCAGGGCACATATCCGCCTCACCGAGCTGTGGAAGATCACATCCTTACGCCGGCATCATCCGGCCCCCCCTGGACCCCCGGCCGGAAGCACGCGAGCAGGTCGATCAAAAGTAGTGCTTCTCCGCCAACGCTACACTACACGGTCGAATGCGCTGCGCAGCGCCTGGGTCACTTGCAGCTCGGCCCTCTTCTTCCTGTCCGAGACGGAAGCGTATTTGCAGACAGAAATCGTTGCAGGCCTGTGGGAAGGCTTCCAAGAATGGCTTACCTCCAGTGAAAAGAAGCCCGAAACCAAGCCCAACTCCACGTTACCCTCGAAAGCACCATCGGCAGCGGCTTCAGATGATGAAGATGATGATATTTGGCTCGCGCAGAGCACGTCCAACCTCAACCTCGGCCCCAAAGCACCTGAGCCGACTCCAACCCATGACCCCCAGTCCCTCGCGACAGCACACCGAGCGTATCTACGCGCACTCTCGACTCGTCTCTTGCTCACATTTCCCTCTTATACAGACCCTCTGTACAACTTGTTGACGCATACTGATCACCTCGTCGCGCTGACGACGCGTCTGCACGCCGTCTGGACCTCGATGGACCTGGAAGCCGACGCCGGAGTCGTAGATGCGTTCGTCGACCTCGAGATTGAGGAGAAGGACGTGCGCGCCGCGATACGGGATGTGGAAAAACACGTCAAGGATGGTATCCGCGAGGTCATAGCCGCTTTGAGGTCCCTCGAGGCGGACCCCGCCGCGTTTGCGGACGAGGAGGAAGGCGGCGAGGAGGGTGTCCTTAGGGAAGAGGGCGAGTACATCCCTCGGCGGGTCGGTGGCGTGGAGAGACTCCTCATGAAGCTTGACCTCGGGGGCTGGTTCGGGGACAAGAAGGACGAATTCTTCGTTTTTGGCGAGTACTGATGTCTCAAGTCTCGACTACTTCGTTTCTCTCCATTGGCATCCCGCGGGGGACATCACATGTGCGCCTTGCATTGCCACTGCATAGATAGCCGACCCTATCTGCGGGGAGGCTGACATATCATCAGAAATGACATGATGGCGATATCACTGCAACACGCGAGTTTCCACAACACACAAGCTTTGGTGCGAATCATCACTATGGGAAACGTCGCCCTGCCCAGAACCCCCGACCTGCAAGACACCATGCGAGGAGGCAGGGGAAACAAAAGACCAAAATCCCACGTTGCAGCAAAAAAGACATAAAGAGTGGGCGGAAGACAACGTGTTGGTAACGCGACGACACCGGCGGGACGGACCGGAGGACGTCATGGGTCACGCCAGGGCTCTCTGCTCTGGCACGCGGGGGTTGGTTTCCCTGAGCTGTTCCTCGGCTTGGCGATTCTCGGGCCCTAAAAGGTTAGGCGCGTGGGTGCTGTCATTCCAGAAGCCTATGCAGACTTTTTGACAGAGACATGACCTACATCATCGGCAAGCGAGCACAGCATCTCATGATGGCGTTGAGCGGGGTGCATGGTGTTCATCGGGCTGGGTGGGGGGCCTGGGGTGGTACGACACTGACGACCGCTCTCGTGTTCCAGACCGGCCGACTTTTAGTCTCGTCTACCTCACTCCACCAGCTTTTTTCCTTGTTTCGTCACCGCCTTCGTGGACATGAGGACCGATTGTTTGCATCCGTGAATTTCCATTATTCACTATCAAAGCGAAGCATAGGTAGACACAGTATGGTGATTATGAAAAGATGTTTGCATGAGCAAAAAGGCGTTTGCGCGCTTGGTGTTGTTTGTATTGTATCTCGGTCAAAAAATACAGACGTGGATCATCATTAGTCTGCCTCATTCGTACAGTTCCCGTTCCCCCTCCTTCATGATGGGGATTCCGCTCCAGATACTCCCCGACTCCTCGCCTGATGAATGAAAAGAGAAAGCTGAATCGTTGAGGAAAATTTGACAATAGTTGTTGACACAAATGTATGTACAGATAAATGTGAAATATCCCTATGAAGAACGCCGTCCTACCATCGCGACGCGGCGATGCGATGCGCGGTGCCCTGAAAATGGTATCCTAGTTTCCTCCCATATCCTTTGGTCTGTGCCTGTATGTGCTGCGCTGTTGCGCGCTGGTCTGTAGCTGCTTTCATTGTAGCTGTGTCCCGGGTTTCCGTCTTCTGTTTTGTTCCGCTGCCAATAAAATTGATGTATGTTTTTGGTAAGAGTGATGATTTGAGGTGTCGCTCATAATGGCTAGATGCTCGTGGCTGGAAATATGAAATATGAAATGTTTCTCTGCGGGACGATGTTCGGAGCCGTGGGAAATGGTCGTAAGTCGTCAATGTCGTCGCAGTGTAAATTTTGGTACCGATTGATGATGCAATTTTGGCCGTGCCTCCCGTAGAGAAAAGAGACAGCAAAAGGGCATTAAAAATGTGTTGGTGCTGAAGGTTCATCTCAGTAAGTTGAGATGGGGCGGTGT